TATTTTCAAATTGATAAATCGTTTAATACAAATATAAATACTATAAATATAGAATTATATCAAGTTTTGATCTACGATATAAAAACTATTTACAGCAAAAAAAAATACACCTACTTTTACACACTAAAAACTATATTATAGCCTAACTATTCCTATAAACCTTACTTCGCATATAAATAACATTTAACACATTCCTAATTTTTTCAAAAAAAATTGTATGTGAAATAAAATAAAATAAACAACAAAATTTAAGTAAGTTTATTTATTAAATGAATATGTAATTTCTCTTACATTTTAATAACTACTATAATTTCATTGAAAACATTTCTCACCATCGACTCCAGACTTCGGCGAATGAATTCCCACAGTCGATGACTCCGTAGATAAAAATGCCACATCATTTATGAACAAAACCGAAACTTTAAAAAAACCATATATAAAAACCTATCTAATGAAACTTAAACAACGAATATTAACTTAATTAAGGTTATTTTCATATTGATAAATCGTTTAATACAAATATAAATACTATAAATATAGAATTATATCAAGTTTTGACATACGATATAAAAACATGAAATTTTCCATTTCATTATTAATTGATGTCATTAGAAGAATCCACTAACCAACAATCGAAAAAAATACACGCAAACATAATGATCCCGACCCCGCGCTTGCGCGGGGAATATGCAACTAGTTACTAGAATAACTCATAAAATTTTAAACTTACTAACTTTTTTTATTGTCCAAAGTGCCCTTGCTTTCAGTTGTGACCAAAAAGTAATATTACTAAAATGCCATTTAAAGTTTTGAAAAGATAACCGTCGGCAGATTTGTTTACGAAAAAACAAATCTATCGGTAAATAAATCTGTTAATTTAAACTATTGTTAAATATAAATCTGTCAAGTACTTGGTGGCAGACTTTATATTCACGGCAGATATTTTTGAGGTGTCTGATTTGTCTGGCCGATTTAAGGTTGTCGACAGATTTATATGTGTTAGTCTGCCGAATGAAGTAACTGATTTTTTTTTAAAAAACAGTTTTATTTTGGATCGGTTAGATTTTTATGACTGATTTAATATTACGTACAACTGACTTTTAATGGATACTAGACTTAATTTTGCTAGACAGATATGTTTAACCGATTTATATTTGTAGTCGACTTATGTATTCATTTGGTGGCAGACTTTCGAAATTTCCATCTTTCACGGCATACTTGTAAAATTAATTTTAATTATTAGATTGGACCACACTTATTGTACCAGACATATCCACTTGAATTTTTGGTTATTTTCTCTTAGGTTTTAGTTTACTTTGTATTGGTTTGCGGTTTAGATTATTTTTAGTTTTAATTAATTTTTAAATTTGGTTTAAATCAATTAAATCTTTCGGTTTAACGAATTTTAAAGCTAGTTTAAGTTAAGTAACATTAGACCACATTAAGCAAGTAGAGTTTACCTTCTCTTTGTCGTTTTCTTCATGTTGCCTCTCATACAAGAACACGTGTTGTAGTTTGATGTTGATTTACGACGGTGTCTTTTGATTCATATTGATTGGAGGATAATGGAACACGTAATTCTCATTTCTGGGAAGTGGAAAGTTGAGAAAACTAAGTGGTTATTTGAAGTAGATAATCAGAGAGGTAGCATATTAGTTGCTGCGAATGAGGATACTCAATTTGAAGATTTTGTGAAAGTCATATTGAGGATTACAAAGTTGATTTTGCAGAAAACAACTTGGAACTGAGATACTTTTTTCCGAAGCGAAATCTACACATTCAAAGCATGGATACACCACATGTGATAATAGGGAACAATAGGCAGTTTCATGTATTCTTGGCTCTTTGCAAAGTTGCATATACATTTCATATGTGACCATAATGGGGATGCATACATATCTTACTAATCAGTGAAGCTTGACATACAAGCTTCTTATTTTGTTTCATGGTATGAAAAACAAGCGCTGAAACTGATCTCGGTGAATTTTGAGGGTTTATAGGACTAAAATATGAATGCATCTGATTAATCTAATTGTTAATGTGAACCAATCTCACTTGATGCCATATCTGCTTGATTCTCTACCTTCATATCTGACTGGTTCTTCAGTCTTGTTATTCTGTATATACATAGCAATGCATGTTATCATCCACAGCGTCAAGAATTCTTGAATATGTGTTGAATATTAAATTATTAGTTTGGTTACATCATAAGGTCAGATGGTTAAGCTTCTATAATCTAAAGTCACACAATACACATACAAACGACAAGTGTTCACTATTTTTGTTTTCTCATTTGAGCCCAAAGGAGCTTTGCTTGTTCTCTGAATCGCTCTCGCAACTCTCCATATCTCATGCTGGATCGTTCCCTCTGATGAGTGTGTTGCAACAGCATCTGTTATCCCCGGGAAGAAACCTAGCTTGCTCTCTGGTTCAGCTGCAGGTCCATACACCTTTACATAGACAAGCAAACACAAGTTCACATAAGAGTTTGAAAAGATTGGTTAAATCATGTTTTGTTTTAAGTTAACTCACAAGATGCTTGAACCATTCTTTCCCTTTTATCCCTTCTGAATCCAAAAACCATCTTTCTGCAAGCATCATCCTATCATTTAGCTCTCTTCTCTTGGCAGCTGCTGCAACATCATTTTTGATGTATGCTTGTTCATAACTTCTGCAGAACCAATTAATCAATCACCAAGATGTGAATATGTGTAATGATTATATAAATCAATCAGTAAAAGCCCTTTAAAGCCTTTGCATCTGTGGCTTCTTTAACAACAAAAGAGAACTCTTGTATCGCCATGCTCAAGGAAACAACAAAGGCTTTCCCTTGTAAGAGCTTGCTCAATGCATCTTTATGTACCTAAACCATAACACCAAAAACATAGAAATAAGTTTTCTTTTCATATTATTTATAAAGGAAGTGAGTAGAAGAAACATACCTGCAACTGGTTTCTTACCTGCCACTGTTCAGCATAAGAGATGTAATCAAACGGTATGACTGGCTCATCAGCCAATATAATTCATAAAAGTTCCCAAATTCCAGCCACTGAGAAAACCAGAGAAATCAGAATTTATTCTACTTAGCCTATGTATCTGCACTCCATTTTCAAACCATAACATCATTCACAAAAACACACCTTGTGAAAGTTACACAATATTTCTACTCACAACAAGGAGGATATATTCTAGTACCCGAAGATGACGCCATACCTGCAAAAACAAAGCATAATCAACAATAATCAGATTAAAACACATAACCAAAACATGAAAAAAATAGAACAAACTTTAACTAGTGGTTCTAAAGAAATATAAAGTTCAAGTTACGAAGAAAACATAAACATACATAAACTTAAACAAAAAGAGAAACTAAAATTTGAGTTCTTTGTCGAAGGTGATGCTGGAATTAGGAATCCGAGTGACAAACTTAAACATTCAAGGAAACAATAATCAAACCCTATACCATAACCTTAATTGTGAATAAAACATACCAGTTTTTCGGATTCTAAGTCGAAGGAGATGAAATTGGAAATTAGGGTTTTCGAAATTAATCAATAAATCATGCAATATATGTTAAAATCATGTAAGAACAACTCGGAAATAGATTTAGCACTTACAATCCCAATTTGACGATCCCAAAACAACCCAAATCGAAGCTAGGGTTCTCGTGAATCAAAGGGACGGCGCCAACTTGGAGAAACGAGGCGAAATAGACGGCGGATGTTTCTGAGAATGGAGTTGCCGGAGATGGAGACAAAGAAGCCTACTGTGGATAAGAGTTGTCGTCAAGGGTTGAAGAGAAAGACACGACAAAAAAACTCAACTTCCTTTTGCCTAATTATTTCTTTTTAGGATTTACCTTTTATTATATTTACTTCTACTCTATTAAAATAGAGTCATTCTTTTTATCTACCGATATAAGTTGTCATTTAAATTTGGACCCTTTCTAGAGTGTTACAAATAATACAAGTAATATAGTTGATTGAACCGCATTACTTAAATTAAACCGGTAGTTATTTATGGAATAGTGTTTTGGGCTTACTTTTGTATTTATGACAAATTATATAGTTTGGGTTTTGGGCTTAGTATTAAAGAAAAACTCCAAAAAAACATTGAATAAATGTTCTACCTTAATGGATCAAAAAATCGATTACTATTTTAAGGCCCAAAAGTATTTAATATTTTAACAAAACAAAATTATATATTATTAATCACTTATTTAAATCATGTACTTTAAAACATGTTAATATTTTTTTTTTATTTTAAATAACAATCACTCTGTCTTGATAAATTTCAATGGTAACTTTAATAATAGTTTTTTTTTCTTAAATAATTTACTGATTTAAAGAAAATGTAAAGCAAAACTAAAAACCAAATCTAAAAATTAAAATTCAAAACCAAAAGCTGAAAAACGCATGTTATATTTTTGTTTTTGTTTTGTTTATTTACAAAATAAACTATTGCAATTTTTTAAATAAAAATTGTCATCTTTTCAGTTTTAAATTAGATGTTCGATTTTTTGGGATTTGTTTGTTGGTAATTATGAGTTCAAACTAACTCAGCGGATCTAAAAGCTAAAAACCTAAACCAAAAGCTGAAAATCAAAACTAGAAACTTAAAAATTAAAAACCAAAAACCAAAATCTAAAACCAAATCTAAAAATAAAAACTAAAACTAAAAACTAATGCAAAACAATCATCACCACAAGTTTTGGATTTTTGATTTTATACCAAAACATACTTTAAATAAAGACAAAATCTAATTATATAAACTTTTAATCAAAAAAAATTTCCGCGCTTTCAAGCGCGGGTCAAAATCTAGTATATTTTAATATACAGATGTGTAGTTAATGTTGTGAAAGCTGGGTTTTTAGTAAATTTGTCAAGTCCTTGAGTCATTCTAATAATTACAAATTTATATGAGTTAATGTAGTATTTTTTAGTATGATTTGAGTCATTCCAAGTAATTTCTCAGATATTTATTTATTGGTGGATTCCCGACATTTAAATTGGGACCGCTAAAGAAAACCTTTGAAAAACACAGACAGATTTTGCACTCAAAACACATACAAATTTTTGAGTTTTCTGGTCTTATAACACTGTCAAAGATAACAAAACAACAATGTGAAAATTTCAAAGAATGAAATTTCAGGTAAAGAAGATCATTAAGGTGGTATGTTCAAAAAAAAAAAGATCATTAATGTGGTTTATATAAAAACTTAAAACGATCTACTTGTTTCAAGAAGTGAACTCAAGAAAAGAGAAAAGATTACACTGAGATAAGACACGTCAAAACCCATAATCAATTCAGTGAATGCAAGAGAGTGTTTACGTCTTTCAGTCCCATGGTGGACCAATCTTCATCAATTCATCATGCACCAATCAGAAGAAAATATGCTGTAGACCCATCATGAACTAACAAATGGGACAGACCCAGTAATCAAATTACATGCCAAGGAGGAGTTTAAGATCCAGTTTCCATTGGACATTGAGTGATTGACAACTCACTGGACCTGTTGAGTTTCTTGAGTGATTTCTTTGTGCGCAGTTTTCCTTGTTTTTTTTCGTGTATATAATGAGATTTTCTAGAGAGTTTGTCGAACTTTTTTTTTTTTTTTTGGCTCTTCGTTCTTGGGGTTTCCTCATGGTTCAAATGGTGATCTCTCACATTTTGGCTTGGCTAGGCTAGGTTGGTTTCTAGACCTTCATAAATCATCAATAACAATTACTTGTAAGATCATGTTAAGAGTCAATTAGATGAGGAGGTGTCTTAATTAGATGATAGGTGGACAATATACTAAAGCAACATCAAGTCTAGCCTGGGCACTCGGTTTTTTTTTCTTCCATTCTTCGGTTCTAGAAATTAATTTATGATATGCTCGGATATTTGGAAAATTTGACTCGGTTATTTCAGTTTTCATTCGGTTCGGATAACATATTTGAGAACCGGCTAATATATCTGAAGTAATTATGGATCTCATTCGGTTCCAACTTTTCAGTTAATTCAGATAAAAAAGTCAGAAAATCAAGTTTTTCGAATTAAAAATTTTACGCCGGATCCGAATGAGAGATTAGCCATCAACGAACTGAGAGAGACTCTTTACATGAACTGCTATGTGTGGTTGAACTAGTGCTGTTAAAAATTTGTACCAATTTATTGGTAAATGAAATAGTTGATGTCTCGAATTTTTGGATAAAAGTTGAATAATTCGAATAATTTTAAATATTTCAGATTAAAATTTTTGTGTTATTTCATTTTTAGCTATTTCGGTTTGTAAATAAAATATTTAAATTATTTGATTGATTTAAAATTAAATATAGTAAACATTTAAAAGTATATAAACTATATCATAGAATTATATGTTCGATTCTAAGTTCATTTCTAGCAAGTAGGCCGAAAACGTAAATTGTTAACACATGGCTAGTCTAAATCCATTTTAGTGGAGGCAAAGATAAGAGATCCAAGCTGAACCTAATCAAGTCACTGTTTCAGTTTCTTACCATGTGACACCATGTGACACGTAAAAGATAAATCTATAACAGTAAAACTTCTATAAATTAATAACGTTGGAACGTTGAGATTTTATTAATTTTTAGAGATCTTGATTTACGCAATTTCCTTATTTAGATTTTTTTATTTTATGATATATTTATTTTCTAAGACAAGAAAAATATTTGATTTTAGTGTATATACATTGATTATTATTTTTTGAAAGTCAATATTTATATTAATTTTATTATATTATTTGGCGTATATAATATATACTGCATATAATTTAATGTGCTTTTAGATATAATATTACTAAATAAAATATATATTGAGTGTTAAGAAAATATAAGATAATTGTATTGTTAATATAATAAACAATATAATATAAAGTTTTTACCTATAAAATATGCATATAAATTATTAATTTATGATTTTTAATAGGATCATATATTTACATAGATTTTTTTTTTAAATATTATATTATTATTTTATAGATTTGTGTCAAATTTTTGAACCGATCCAAGTTAGAATCTATAAAATTTATTAATTTGTACAGCCTATTAATTTATTGAATATTAATTTATTAATTTATAAATCACTACAAGTTAGAACCAATAAAATTATTAATTTATTGAGTATTAATTTATAGAAGTTTTAATAAAATTTATTAATTTATTGAATATTAATTTATAGAAGTTTTACTTAGAACGTATAAATAGTTTTGAAACAACAGTATACAGCACCCTCAAGTATTGCATGTTAGATACACAAGAAATCAACATCAACAACTTTGCCATCGTACTCTTAAAAAGATTGGATCATGAACAAAAAATAATAAGACTGCCCAATTGCTGCGATGTCTATACAATGATGCAGTCTTGGGTAATCCAAGGGAATAGACAACTGACTGGCTCCAATTTTGACACCACTTCATAAATGAATGCACAAAATAGCACCATCTCAAAACAGTTCTTCTGAGTTGAACTTGTTCCATGCTTCCTGTTTATTGTCATGAGAACAAAAAAGAAGAGATAAGCCAGCAAATGTTGATTTGTATAATTGTGAGTTTCTAAATATCCAAGTGAGACGCAATCTCGTAACTGGATGATAAACTAACTTAATGATGTTTTTGTTTTTGTGGCAGCTATAGTAGCAGTGATGTTACACTTACCTTGAGCATGTCGAACACTTTCTCGGCAATGTATTTCTGCTGGAGATTAGCACCTTTTTGCTGAACTTTGTCAGGATGTATACAGAGAGTGGCCTTCCTGTAGAATTTCTTGACAGATGCGGCCGTAATTAAATCAGTCAATGCAACAGGCTGCCAACCACACTCTGGCCAAAGAACCTGGCTCGTTTGCATCAGCAGAGATTTTGTAAGATTCTTAACATAAAAATGAAATCGAAACAAAACAATAAGAAAATAGACAAATAGGACAATACATATTGTAACGTCGAAAGCAGGGCACGCAAGTTTCCCTCCTTCCCCGCACCCCAACGTTTTATCTCAACATCCAGGGTCACACCGATTCTCTGAAATCAACGATTAAGTATGATAACTAACACAAACCAAAACAAGACAGATCATCTGCAATCCGTGATGCAGTGTCTCAGACTTGATAATAGTTGAGACAGTTCCCTAAGGTGGCACAAAGTTTCTATTCTTATCAAGAGTCTCGACAAAGTAACATGATTTGAGATCACAGAGTAACGGAACTTACATTTCTCTCAGCTTGTTCTCTTTGTACTTGAAGATCACGATTATTTTTCTCAGCAAGTGCTTTTTCCTGTTGAGACAAGAATTCAGGCCACAAAACGTAATGGTGTATTTAAAAAAAGAAAAAAAGCATTAAAGAAAATGCTTTAACAACTCTACTGATACATACAGCCCGCTCCTGTATTTTCTGGTGGCGTTCCAGCCTGGCACGCCGTTTGTCCTCAGTTTCTCCTGCAATGTCTTGAAACCCACCAGATTGGGTTGCTGAAGCTTTACAACGAAAGAAACATTTAGTAGGTGACGAGTTTATAGGATATGACTAAAGTGGAAATATAGAAACAGAATAAGAAGGATAAACCCCAGATGTTTCAGTACCTCCAAATATTGAACTGAGATCATCAACAATGTTTGTAACTGAAGAGGTCTTCCTCAGATTCTCGGATGCCTTGCTAGATTCGAAAGATCCTCCCCTGTTCCACGAATCTTGGAAAGGATTCTGCAGCACAACTAAAATTATAAGGAGACAAATCCCATGTAAAAGGACATAAACAAGAAGGGAAGTACATATCCAATCTCACAGGAGGGTTGGTTCTCTGTCGTGGAGCACTGCTGGGTCTGGAAACCGAGTTAAAGAAGGAGTCAAGATCATCGTTACTCTCTTGCTGCTTAGCTTGAGCTTGAGCTGCTGCAGCGCGTTCTGCCCTGAGTTTTGCTTCCTTCTCCCGCTCTTCAGCGTTGGCCCTTTCTCTAGCTTCTGCTGCAGCTCTCTCAGCCTTTTCCTTTGCCCCTGCAGCTGCCCTTTCACGTGCTTCCAAATGAGCTCTCTGAACCGCTGCTCTTTCTGCGCGTTCACGGGCATCAGTAGTAGCCTTGGCAACAGCAGCTCTTTGAGCTTTTGCTTGAGCCTCAGCGGCTGCTCTTTGGCGTGCTTCCCTAGTAGCCCTCTCCACCGCCTGTCTAGCCAACAGCCTTTCCCTTTCTTTCTCAACTCGCTTCTGCTCTGCCTCTCTTTCCATCTCTGCCCTTTCACGATCCAATCGAGCTTGGTTTTCTCTAACTCCATTTTCCCGACTCTCCATAGGATCTCCTTCTCTAACTCTATTTGCCTTTAAATGATCTCTCTCTTTCCTTTCCTTAGCATGCCTAAACTTGGCTTCTGCTTTGTCCATGGCATCCTTCATGGCAGCAGCTGATGCAACAGCCGTAGAGAAAACATCTGAATCTTGTTCATCAGAGGGAGGGTCGGGATATCCATTAGCAGCAGCCTGACTTCTGCCCATAGAAAAATCGTTGAGAGATGCTATCGGGTTAGTGGAACTCGATAAAGAAGGCTCGTTAACCTTCCTTGTTGTAGGTCTTGGTGGTGGAGGTCTTGAAGGGGGATGAGCACTTGTAGGTTGCGTAAATAAGGGGATCTCAGATACAGTAAGCCAGACATCATCATCTGAACTGAGTGATTTGTTTTCATACACTGGAGAAGTAGGCTGAGGAGGAACAGTTGTTGAAGAAGTATAATGCGACTCCAAAACATGATCAAAAGCAACTTTGTTACCATGGTAACTACTCCCAGAACTATATACTGGTGACTGAGAGGCACTGAGGTTTGGTGGTCTCAAGTGACTTTTTCCTCTACTATCCATATCTGACCCTGATCTTCCAAGACTATGGAGAGAGTCAGAAGAATCAACATTTTGTTTGCTATTGAATTCCTCAAATGGATCAGTGAACCCTCCTGTAGGAGGTTGTCTAAGGGTGGTTGATGCAGACTCATCCAAGTCCACAAGATTGGAAGATGGAGGTTTTCGCTCTGAAGTTGACCTGTATTAAAAAGACAAAATCAATATAACTTACAAGCAAAAAGATTAAAGCTTTTGGAGGCTAAGATGTCTGTGAGTTCCAGAAACTAAACACTTAAAGAGAACATTTTTATAAAATACTAACCTGTCAAAAAAAAAACTGAACCTTTTGGAGAATATCAAAGTTGTAAGATGAACACATAAGAGAAATGAAACGATACCGTTTGGTTGGAGGGGAGGTAGGCCGACCAAACTCAGGAATCAAGTCATCAAAGACGGAACTACCCGAACTGTTCTGGTTCCTGAGCCTTGAAGGTGATTCCATCGAAGCGAAAACGTTATCAAACCTATCAGACTGAGAAGTGTGGAGATGAGGAATAGGCTCGTCATCAAACACATCCTCATCGAACACCGGTTTGTCGTAAACCGGCATGGACGGCTCTTTGAACATCGCGTCGTAGTCAAAGGACGAATCGGGCTTCTTCCTTGCAGGAGATGATGCGAAGCTGTAGGATGATGACGCGGCAGAAGAATCCATGGATTCAATTTGATTTCTACCTCCGAATCCCTCAGGTCTGACGATACATTGGATCAAAGACCAACATGTTCAATTTCTCCATCTTTTCTTCTCTTTTAAATTTTGTTTTCTTTTCTTTGAGTCCTTCATCTTTGCAGACATTTATATTTAGGACCTAGAACGTTTGTCAACCTTGCCTTTTCTCCCAAAGAAATCAATAAAACCTCAATAAATTAACTTTTTAACATCTTCTAATACTCAATATATTAATAATTTTTATAAATTAATAAAATTTTCCAGTCTAATTTAGACCGATTTAAAATTTGACAGCAATCAATAACTATGTTACATGGTAACGGAAAGGATGGATGGAAGCGGAATCGTATGGAATCGCGAAAACGAGATATATAAAGAAAAAAAAGAAGCAGATACGTGTTGGAAACGTAAATCCAAATAGTATATATATATCTATATATATATATATATTCTCACTTATATACTATCATATATTATAAAAATATAAAAATAATTTTGTATTTTATTTATTTATATATGATATTGTGTTTTTAAATTTGGAAGCTTGATACCAAAGTGCAATCGTAAGCTTCCAACGTGTTTTATATGGGATATTTTAGAAGCATTTTAGAATCAAGATTCCACAAGTTTCCGATTTCGGTTCCGAAACGAGAAGCGCACGTCCGATGAAACTTCTGTGCAACGTATTGATAATAAAAATAATAATAATTCTTTTACAAATTCTATATAAATATATGGTCTCATTAAAATTATTAATTAATAATCTATATGTATATATTTTTATATATAAATCCATTGCTTTTAGGAATTTATAAAGTTCCTTCAAATCTCTTATTATTGAAAAAGTTTAATTCTTATTGATTCTCTAATTCTAAGAAAATCTAGTATTATTAGGAAATGAATTCTCTACATTTTTTACTCAAAAAACAAAACTTTCAAAATATTATATGTATTCATGAAATTTTCAAAATTTATGTGATGTTCTTTTATAAAACAACATAATTATTAGTACCAGATAGACCTTCCATCCAAATTATATGTCTAAAATTATAATTCATTACATTTTTGATACTTACCTTTTGAAATGTATAATTATATTTTTGTTTTTGTTATTAAATAGAAACTAAAACGACATATCATTTACTAAAAAAATATAATATAATTAAAGTATTTTGGTAAAATATTACAATTAAAATTGTTAATATAATATTCATCTTATAATATTAACATAATTTTACATTGCATCACTATTATTTTTTTAAGAAACAAACATGTTTTGAAAAAAAAAAATCATATTATACTGAAAAAAAAAGATTTTTGGAAATTTTTTAGAAAATATCGTATGCTTACTTTATAAAAGGAAATATATAAAAATGATAATAAAGTTAATGAAAATCTGTAGTAATCTATTCTATTAAAATAGAGTCATTCTTTTTATCTACTGATACAAGTTGTCATTTAAATTTGGACCATTTCTAGAGTGTTACAAATAATACAAGTTATATAGTTGATTGAACCGCATTACTTAAATTAAACAGGCGATTATTTATGGAATAGAGTTTTGGGCTTACTTTTGTTTTTATGACATTTATTTGTTTGGTTTTTGGGCTAGGTATTAAAGAAAAACTCAAAAAAACATTAAATAAACTTTCCACCTTAATGGATCAAAAATCAATTACTATTTTTCAGGCCCAAAAATATTTAATATTTTCAACAAAACAAAATTATCTATTATTAATAAATTATTTAAATCATGTACTTGAAAACATGTTAATATTTTATGTTAATATTTTTAGTCCAAAAATATTTAATATTTTCAAGAAAACAAAATTATCTATTATTAATCACTTATTTAAATCATGTACTTTAAAACATATTAATATTTTTTATTTTAAATAACAATCACTCTATCTTGATAAATTTTAAGGGTAACTTTAAAATAATTTATTGTTTTATTTTTCTTAAATAATTTACAGATTTAAAAAAAAATGTAAAGCAAAACTAAAAACCAAATCTAAAAACTAAAATCCAAAACCAAAAGCTGAAAACGCAGGTTATAGTTTTTGCTTTTTTTTTATTACAAAATAAATTATTTCAAAATTTTTAGAAAATTATTTTGCCATCTTTTCAGTTTTAAATTACATGTTCGATTAATTGAGATTTGTTTGTTGGTAATATCAGTTCAAACTAACTTAGCAGGTCTAAAAATTAAAAACCCAAACCAAAAGCTGAAATTCAAAAATAGAAACTTAAAAACTAAAAACAAAAAACCAAAATTTAAAACAAAATCTAAAAATAAAAACTGAAACTAAAAATTAATGAAAAACAATTATCAGCACAAATTTTGGTGAACTGATTTTATCCCAAAACATTCTTTAAATTATGATAAAACCCAATTACATAAATTTTTAATCATAATAATTTATGCGCTTGAATTATTTTTTTTATTACAAAATAAACTATTTCAAAATTTTTAGAAAATTATTTTGTCATCTTTTCAGTTTTAAATTACATGTTCGATTAATTGAGATTTGTTTGTTGGTAATATCAGTTCATACTAACTCAGCGGATCTAAAAATTAAAAACTCAAACCAAAAGCTGAAATCAAAAATAGAAACTTAAAAATTAAAACCCAAAAAATCAAAATCTAAAACAAAATCTAAAAATAAAAATTGAAACTAAAAACTAATGAAAAACAATCATCACCACAAATTTTGGTGAACTGATTTTATACCAAAACATTCTTTAAATTAAGACAAAACCCCAATTATCTAAAATTTTAATCATAAAATTTTTCCGCGCTTTTAAGCGCGGATCAAAATCTAGTTATGATTAAGTCAATGTATTTATATATTCATAGTCAACATACCTTTTAAAGTCTATCAAACTTTTAGAATCTACAAACTTTACCCAAATTTATCTCTTACTTATCTTATTATATCAGAAACATTAGGTTGGACTGGACCTACCATTTATTTTGTAAATTTTAAAATTAAATACATCTATATACTTTGTAATTAAACCTACATTAAATCAGTAATATTTTTTTATATTACTATTCATGTTTCTAAACAATATATTTATTTCTTTATATCACTATCCATGTTTCCAAACAATATACCCATTTCTTTATACTACTATCCATGTTTCCAAACAACACTATAATTAATCTTATGTCTAAACAATACAAAAGATTAGATCTCACTCTTTTTAATAATTTCTCACAATTTTATTTCAAATTATTTAGATAAACTAAAAATTCAAATAATATATAAACAATGAAATTAACTTTTTTTTACAGGTTTAAATATTACATATCAGTTATGCATCGATTTAATCGGTTAGTCTCAGGTTTTAGTGATTTTTAAATATGCATATTTTTAAAAGTCAAGACTGGATTATCGGATCACTAGTTTAAGTATGGTTCGTTTTAAATTTAAAAATACTGATTTAGATGCAAAATTATTTTAACTACATAAATTCTTTCAAATTCCAATATATATATTAAATTATTTATAAAAAATCATCATAAAATATTATGTGCTTACAAAGTTAAAACCAAACTTAAGTTTGAATTTGACCTAACCCATAAAATAAAAGTTAAGGCTAAAATTCTAGAAATTTGTGTATTTTTAAAAAAAACTTTGGATAATTATTAACATCACAAGTAACCAAACTATCAACTTATTTTTTTAACGTAAACAGTCAAGCTTGGATTTAATTTTGCACTTCGAACAAAACATACAAAATTAGTGTTTTCACTGCACAGTTACATCTACATAATACACTGCTTGACATTATTAATACAAAAGACATTTTTTGATATTGTTCTTTAAACATAAAATCGAATTGGAAAATTCGAAATTATATAAAACTAAATTATATAGAATATATCCAAAAAATAAATCCGCGCGTAGGTGCACATATCATGATCTAGTAAACCCTAAAACTAAAACCATTTTGAAGTCTTTAAACAAATATTTGAATGGAGGTGGAATCATCAAAATTATAAAATTCTATGGACATATGCAGCCTTAGAATTGAAATACTCGATCTGAATCTGATCTGATTATCCCTAGTGTCATCGTCCACTTCCTTGGATGGTCGGTTCTGGACCGGGTGGGCTCGAGACATAAAACGGCAGCGTTTAACAGAAAAAAAGAAGAAAAGATTAGAAGAACCGAAATCCCTTTGGTCTCTCTCTCTCTATCCCTTCTCTTCGCTCGCTCCCTCCCTCGCGCGTCTCAATCAGTTAAATCTATACCTTTACATGGTTGCAGTGACGTAACGGCTCAATTTGACCCGAAGAATGTACGGAGGATCTTCGAAACTCGGCCGCGGCAGGGGTGGAGGAGGCGGCGGCGGTGGTGGTGGACCAAACCGAAACCGCAATTCGTTCCCGCCTCCTACCAACCGACAACCTTCCCCCGTCGGGAGGATGTCCTCCGCTGGCGGTGGCTCTTCCGCCGCGTCGCGACAGAGGAATACCACCGGCGCGAAGGCGGCCGCGGCGGCTTCGTCTTCTCGTACGGTTGAGGAAACGTTTAGCCTTGTTCCGAGGGAGAGTCCTCCGGCTTTTGGGATGATAATAAGGTTAACTCCTGACTTGGTGGATGAGATCAAGCGTGTGGAGGCTGAAGGTGGAGCCGCTAAGATCAAGTTCGATCCGTTTCCTAATAATAGCACTGGGAATGTGAGTCTCTTATGCTTAACCCTAATTCCAATTGAATTTGACAATTAGATTTCAGTTAAGGTAACCCTAGATTAGTGGAATTGGAGGAATCAACTTCTATTGGAGAATAAGATGGTTAAGTTATGCATTTACCATCCTGTGGTAAACCTTATAAGCTTTCTAAACTATGGCCGTGGAAAAGAATATCTGGTGGTTAGGTTTGTTGGATTGCTACTTGGATAGCAATTGTTGGATTGTGTTAGACATTGACTTACTTATTTTTTGAGAATGTAATGAGATTGTTGTTTTAATGAGATCTCTATCTGTGGTTTTGTCACTGAAAGTGGTTGTCGATTGGGTTTATTAACCCTTTCTGCATACCTTTTTGTCATTTATTTCCTACTGCCTTTTGGGTTGTTGATATTGGTCTAATGTTCTAATTGCAATCTCCATATCTGTAACTTTTTTAACAGATCATTAATGTTGGTGGAAAGGAGTTCAAATTTACTTGGTCAGGGGAGCGTGGTGATTTATGTGATATATATGAGGAACACCAAAGTGGTGAAGATGGAGATGGTGTGCTTATTGAGGCTGGATCTGCTTGGAGAAAAGTGAACGTCCAACGAACTCTAGATGAGTCAACCACAAGCCAGATGAAGAAGCTCTCAGTTGAAGCTGAACAGAGAACCAAATCGCGCAAGTACGTATTCCGAACTAAAATTTAACTGCATTTGATATATGTAAATTTTTCCCTGCATAGTCTGTCCGCTTCTGCAAAGGTGTCTGTTCTCTTAGTTTTTCTAGTTTTGCAGTCTTCTATCGATAGGATAGTCTCATAACTCTTGGCACGATAATATATATTGCGGTTAGGCTGGTGTGGGTCCTTTTTACCGTACTCATGTACTTTAAGCTCTTTTTGTGGCACTGAGACTCAAGAGTGTAACAAATTGCATCGTTTTGTGTTCTTCTTTAACTCTACTCTCATCAAAGTGATTATGCCTGAAACTGCATATTTGGTCATGTCAGGGCTATTGTTCTAGATCCTGGGAATCCATCATTGAAGAAGCAGTTAGCTCGTGCTGAAGGTAACTTCCAGTCTATTACTTGGTCTCCATTGGAACAGCTTCTATCTATTTGAAATTTTGGGCTGCTAACATGAAACTTTTGCTAAACCTTGTTTCTACCTCCTATATTCTCTCTTTTCCTTTTAAGTAAGCGGTTTTAGAACATTAACGTGAGCGTAGATAGCCATTCTTGTTTGAAACTGAATCCCATGCTATAAATTTTACTGTATAGTCAGGTTTTGTTGTCTCTTGGGTTCAAAGCTTGTAATTATGTTTGGGTACGACTAATAGCTATCTAACGTAATCCCTGAGCTTTCAGCAAGTCCATGGAGAATGTCAAATAACCAGAAGAAAGAACCTCCGCCTAAGAAGCGGAAAGTTGATCCACCTCCAGGTATATATGAAAAACATTGCAATGAGACTGTGTAATAACACATTAGGGTTTCAAAGACTCTTATTTGCTATTATACTCCCTTACTGTTTTGTCAGTTCTAAGAGTATCAATTGTTTATTGTAGTTCCAATGGGTGGTCCAAAGCCTTCTTTCAGACCAGGGGCTTCAACCACTTCTATGAAAAATAGGCTATCAGCTTCACCGGGACCGTCTCCTTCTAATCAATACAATACTCCTTCATCCTACGGGACTGGGAATATTGCTAAAACTAATGCAGATAACGAGAATGTCACACCAGTCAGGGCAAAGGTCAGAGAAAGCATGGTTGCTAGCGAGAAAGATTTATCAACTTGGGAAAGTAATGCTTTAAGGGACACATCTGGGCGTCAAGAGACCAATGTTAATGAAGAAATTGACTTGCAGGCACTGCTAGCTGATCTCCTAAAAGAGACTCCAATGAGCTTGACGGTAATACATAGATCAAACTTCAGCTATATAGCTACTTTCATATCCAATATGTGTTTCCACCACGATTGATTCCACTCTCTGTTTCTCTTTAGGCATTAGAGAAAGCTGTTGGAGATAGAACCCCTAATGCGGCAAAGAAGATTGAGCCAATCTTGAAAAAAGTAAGTCGTGAAACTTTGGTGTGGTTTATGAGGTGCAGTGTGTATTATTGCGTCCCTAATTGTTGTTGATAATCAGATTGCAAATTTCCGAGCTCCAAAGTATTTCTTAAAACCAGACGCAGATTTGGAAAGATATAAAAAGCATTCAGTTGGTAGCAGAAGGTACGTGTACCCGAAATGATAGTCTCTTTGTCATTGCAGAATGTGACACTAGGAAGTAGGATTGACACAAATAATGCATATGATTTATAATGTTAAATAGGTGCTTGAGGGTAAAATCTATGATAAGAATAGAACTCAAGCAGTAGCAAAGCTGCTTGTTTAGTGGACAGTGAACACTAAATGAATGATTGTTAATATCCAATTTATAGTCTAACACATGCATCTATACTCTTACGTATGTCCTCTTCTCCTTATTGTCGTATCTGGTTTAGTAAAACTTTTATTTCTCAGCTCACCTGAACACGAGCAACTGCTTCCAGTCACTGAGTGCAGTCGCGACCAGTTACCTGTTCCAGGGGTTAGCAACATGGAGACCGTTTCTGCAAGCGAGCGGAAAGGAGAAGGTTCACAAGACTGTTTACCTGTGCATCTGGGAGAGTGTCTAAGTACGCAAGAAAATATTGACATTGAGCATCATTCACCTGGTATTCTTAATGAGGAAAAGAGATCTGAGAATAGAAATGGCCAGGTTACTAGCTCTAGTAGCGACAGTGATAGTGATAATAGTGACAGCGGGAGTGATAGCGGGAGCAGCAGTGATAGCGGGGCTTCTTCTAACAGCAAGGAAGTTTCTGATGAGGATGGTGAAAAAGATGCTGTCGACATCGATGGTCATGATTCTGATCCAGTTGACATCGATGGTCATGATTCAGATCCAGTTGACATCGATGGTCATGATTCGGATCCAGTTGACATCGATGGTCACAGTTCAGATGAGGGTCATGGTTCTGAAGCTGACAGGAAGATTGAAGAAGTTGGCATTTCAGGGCAGGAACAATTACCTTCTGGTCATGATAAGCTACGAGAGCGCCAAGATTTTATCGGGCAGTTGTTTGATGATACAGATAATACAACGAAGGATAGCTTAAAAAGTGACCAGCCTGGCATCTCTGAGAGGCTAGCCAGAGACCAGAAGCAAATGGCCCCTGATTTGGAGCACTACAGTCAGCAATCAGCACGGGTGAAAAACATAAAATCCCAGCAATTACCTGCCACAGATAAAGATTCACAGCCTCCAGAGCGCAAGTATGATATAGATCATCTCAACACTTCTGCCAGTCAAATGAGAGATCCATTTAAAGGACTTCAGAAGACATCTACTGAAAAGTTGAGCAGGCCTGGTCAAATGAAGGGTGATAGTTCAGGTAAATCAAACAAACATTCTGATGCCTTGGGTAATGTTCGTAAATCTGACGAAGATGGCCATTTTCCGCATGACACCCTTCCTAGTCGGTCAGGAAAGGCCTTCAGAGACAATCATAGGGATGATGTTCATTTGAAAAATAAGTTTGCAAGGAATAAAAAAGATGGTGAGTCATCCATTCGTCCCTCATTACCGTCTGACAAAGCCAACAGAAAACACGGTGAACTGGATGGAAGTGAGAAGGATTTCAAGAATGTGGCAGGGTTGGGCATTGGTTCATCTCCATTGGATAGCCAGAGAGCAAAATTACCTAAGGGAAATGGATCTACGCTCCAAAAACAAGTTTCGGACTTGGAGTTGGGTGAACTCCCTGAGTCATTGGGGGTAGATACATCACTGAATCAACTCGAAGAGAAAACTTCTTTTAGGCAGTCAAATTTAAAACCAAGCACTTCAGAAAACTTGGGTATTGACTCAGATAAAGGAAGGTCTAAAAAATCTGTCTCAAAAAAGCCAGCTCTTACACATGCCGGCAATGGTTCAAAAGAATCTCCCCAACACGTTGTTGAAGATTCGGAAAGATCCCAAAAGTTTGCTTTGCAGCCACAAGGGCAGAACCTAACAGGTACAGACACTGAAAACGGCTCACATAACAAGAATTTAGAGGATACAGCTTATAAACCAAGACAGAGAGATAGTAGAGCAAGAGTAGGAAGTAGTGTGGAAGGTTATGGAGAGACGAACAAAAAAACGCCCGTTATAAAGCAGGGCTCCAAACGACCATCCACATCCCGCTCATCAAGGGAGAGCAAAAGACACAAAAATGCAAGTTCTATGAATGGGCACAAAGATGCAACTTTTGATGAAGAAGACTCTTCTTATTTGAAATACGAGAAAGCCTCTCCTGACCATAAGGGACCTATTAGGGATCATTTGCAGTGAGTAAACTGAATATAATGTTCGGAAATCTAATCACCTTAGTATTTGTGGCTCGAAATAGACTGACATGTTTTCTTTTATTTCAGGTATAAAGCATATATGCAGGAATATTTGGATAAATATGATGATTACTCATCCATTAATAAGATATTAGAGAGCTACAGGTACCTATATGAATTCTTTGTTCAACAAATTCTCGGAGAATTTTTGTTGTTCTTGTTTATCTGCTAATCTTGATATAATATGTATATTTCCATTATTCCCAGAAATGACTTTCAAAAGTTGGGGGAAGACCTTAAGGTTGCAAAAGGAAGGGACATGGTGAGATATAACAAAATTGTGGAGGACTTGAACGAATCATATCGCAAATATGGGGAGGTGATATTCTATCTCTTACCCACTTTAGACATAGTAACATCTTATGGACAACGTTTTTTTAACATGCCCTTGAAGATTGAACTCAACTATTTACTGAAGTTTTCTAGGCATTAGATGATTTTCCATCTTTATTTATCTGGATTTAGATATATGAAATTTGGAAACGGCTTAGAGTTTGAAGAGGTTGGCCAACGATAAAATTGCTTTGCTTGTGTGTACGATTCGGAAACTAATGAAAAACATATCGCATTATGTACCTAGATTGAACATCATGATACGAGATTTGCCAGATTTGCTGTTGACTTATATACTAAATCTTTTTTTTTCCATTCTAATTTCACATTATACTTTGGTGATGATTTTCTTATATATGTTTATGTGCAGAGGCACAAACGTTTGAAGAAAGTGTTTATTGTTCTCCATGAAGAACTGAAGGTGAGTTACAAAGCTCCCACAGTTTTGGTTTTCATTTTCCTATGAGCTGTTTTGTTATAACAATGAATGTTGATTACCTCTTTGCAGCAACTGAAAGAAAGAATGAAAGACTATGCATCATCTCACGGGAAAGATTGATGTAAACTGGAACCAAAAATCTCTAGAAAAGATGGACCTCATATACTCGGAGGTGAAAAGAGGAGGGTTGATATTCATTTCTCCTTTGGAATCGAGTCATCTTGTTGATGAAAGATTAGCTGTTTTTTTTTTCTTGTGAAATTAGAAATGATTCGTAGGCCCAGTTTTGTGTGAGTTGGTTCTTAAGGAGACCTTTCGTAGATTTTCTATGGCTTATTTTGGTTGCTGATCTTTGAACCATTCGGTGACCAATATGTACATGATTTCAAAAGCAATATAAGACTCTTCTGGCTCTGCTTGATTTAACTTGTTCTTGTGTCGAGTCTTCCCACTTGTTTCCTCAAATCATTTGCAAGTCACAAGACCTCGTAATCTACCTTCCTTCCCCATTATTTAGATAACTTAATACTTTCAATATTTTCTTTATTTCAGTTCATCATCTCAATCTATATTGAAAAAGAAAGCTTCATTCGAATCTTATCAGATAGGTGAATTCAAAGGAATACTGAAGATATTACTAATTGGCAACGGAGAGATCGATTAGCCGGGGAGAAGCATACGAGTTGCGAATGAGTCTTTGGGATTGCAAATCATTGTACCGGAATTAGCCTTGGATATATGACCGTAACACACCAAACTGAATCAAAATTTTCAACTTTTGTTTTTTCTGGTTCAGTTTCAGTTTAGACTTTAGAGTTTAGTTCAGTTCGGTAACTGATTTAGTTGACAATCGGTTACTTTGTTTTTTCAAAAAATTTATACCAAACCATACAAGCTTTAGCCAAACTCCGAATCTGAACCAAACTAACTAAACCAACAAATTTCAACTCAGTTAACCTAAACTTTTATCTGAATAATCAAAACTATCTGAGTTTTTAATCAAAAAATAAACCAAAACTTTGACTGAAATAGAAAAGTTTGGTCTCTTCTAAAGTTCAACTATGTATATTTTTAAGAGAAACCGATATAACCAAAAACTAAATTCATAAACCTAGCCAGAATACTTGAGAGTTTACAGAAAAAAAAATCTCTTAAAACAAAATCAAAATCTGATTTTTTATCAACTATTATATTTACATAATCAGAAAAAGACATACAAAATACATGGATTTATAAGGCAACAAACACAACTAAAATAATACAGAGAGACAATACATCAAATACATAAAATATAGAAATGACTTTTCTTGAGAGGTTCTTCTAATCAACTGACGACCAATACTCTTAATCTTTTTACAATCTTCTAGTTTACGTCGCATTATAGACACCAACTTTTTCCTTTGTTGTATAATATTGGTCAAATCTCATCTATAGATTTAAATTGGATTTGAATGTAATTTATTGATTCATCTGATAGATATGGAAAATGAGACCATTAATTTTTGACGATTATATGAACATCGCATACAATAAAGAGTATAACTTCCAACTCTAAACATTAAATTACCCATAGTGGTTTCCATGAATTCACTAAAAAATCAGAATCCTTCATTATTCGATAGCAAATGTATTATATCAAAATATGGCAATTGTGAATGATCTTTTTAACAACAATGACATTTTAGAAATTTCCATCATAATTCAATGACCAGAAAAGAAAAACATAACTAGGAAACCACCACATGCGGAAGAAATGATATTTTTTTAAATTATCTTTACATAATTTATATTCGTTAATCAATCATTTTGAATCATTTAATAAACTAATTATTTTGTATGAAGATCAAAACTTAAAAAAATAATCTTATATAATAATAGAATGAAAGTATAATTTTTGTTTAAAAATGTGTAAATTTAAATGCTATATGTCTAGCATAACATTATTAAAATCGCAGTTATTTTGTTTTATCTTTTTATATATGAGAAAACGATAACTACCATAGCACGATTACAATAAAGAAACACCAGCAGAATACAGAAATCAATACTAAGAAACGCTAGCATATAGCATAGATAATTTTAGTAAATGGAAAAACATATATACTCTTTTAAAAATGGAAATAATAATTGACTACCGTGAATGCTTGTATCAAATATGCACATGATTCCCACAACGTACATGATCAAAATATGCAAAATTTGGAAGAATAAAAAACTAACCTTTCAATCTAGTAAAATAAAATTAAGACACCTCTGCTATTTAAATTTTTTTTTTTTGAAAAATGGAAAGACAAGATTCTTGATGGTAAATACCACATCTCTATAAAAATGAATAGACAATCCAAGGTGAATTGTGTTAAACAAATTATGGAACTACTTTATAAAGTTTGTAAAAGTTTGTATGCCAAATTTAAATGCAAACTATTTTTAAAATTAAATATGATTATAATCAGAGAATGTTAATTAGTTATTTGTTTCCTTAAAAGGACACTGTTAGGATCTTTAACAAAACATAAATATATTTTTCAAAAAGATTTAACCTTTCATTTTATTTGGCATTCAAAACCTTTCACATTAATTGAAATTTCCATTAAGTTACATAACTTTTCATTTTATTTGGCATCACAAACTTTAGAATTATTTGAGATTTTTGTTAAGAGACACAACCTTTTATTTTATCTATTAAGAAACATAACTTTCATTTTATTTTTTTAAAGAGACACAGCTTTCCATTTTATTTTGCATTTACAACCTTTCACATTAATTCTCATTTTTATTAAGATTCACAACCTTTCATCTTATTTGACATTCACCACTTTTGAAATTAATTAAGATTTTTTATTAAGACTAGATCGTTTTCCGCGCTACGCGCGGATAATTACTTTTAGAAATTCATACTTAATTTTCTTGTGTGATAATAAAATACTCCATATTGTATATCTGCTGTTTATGATATAGTTTCGTTCTTGTATTTTTGTAATAAGTTTTTAAATTAGTTTACTAAAATACCAAAATTAAGTTTAGAATACAAAAACAACATGAATGATTACTATATTTTGAGCTACATATAGAATGTGTAGTTCTAATTCATGTATAGAACTTAACTCTTATTTTTCTTTTGAATTCTTTGATAATTGTAAAGATTTAGTTAAGTTTTTGAGAATTATGTATGAACCTAATTTCATGTTTATATTAAATTTATATGTGTATGTAAATTTGGTTATATAAATGACACTGTTTGAAATTTTTCTTCTTATTACACAAACTGTGTCACTTTCTAATTTCAATATATTTTTAAGGTAACAACAACGCGGCGGAGAATCTTTAATTGATGTCGTCGCTGAAGAGAAGCGTGAGAAGACGCTTGAGTTCGCTGAGGAGCTCAATGAGAGACTTTGTGTTTTGGAAAGAGATGGATTTTGTGGAAGCTGTTGATTGCTTCAGCCGTGCCCTCGAGATCATGTGTCCATTTCAGTTTCTGGAAGTTTTTGATTGAGATTTTTCATAATCGATTTGGAGTTATGTTTAGGTTTAAAATATTTGTTAATCGAATTGAACTTTCATTGTGTTGATAGATCAGTCTGAATTTATGAATATGCTCTTTACTCCTTTGCTTATGATTTCCTTTCAGCTCCCTTTGTTTCTTCTCCTATATAAAACTCTTCCGCGAATTCCACTGCTTGGATAGAGTTTGAAAAGGGATGGATTGATGCGGGTGGGATATGATCATTGTGGGCTGTATAATGCTACTTTTCTATGAAAAGAACATTTTGTCATTTGAGATAAATAAATTCGATTATTTACTGGTATTTAATTGGTTTTTAAATTTTGTAACTTCGACTATTAACCACGAATATGTATTGTTAATTGTGTATTACTTCATTTGTGATATATAACAAATGAAACTTTTGGTGCCCTATTTGTTTCGATAATTTTTTTTGGGGGAATAATAGTTGATGTTTTTAAAAAAGGATCTGATTTTGTTTTAATTTTTCTCATATACTCTAAGTGTTTAGCTGTAACTGTGTAGTGACGTTGATATACTTCCACTCTGTTATAATATAATTCTGTTGGCTGGGAAGTATATAATATTTATGTTTGTAAAGAGCATAACAACCATTTTTTAATTATATATTTTTAGTGGCTGAGTTTTCCTAATCTGAAGCAGATTTTTTTTGGATATTTTTATGCTTTGCGAACCATGTCGTTTGGATGATGTGAGATGTGCGTTTTGTAATAACAATCCGATTTTTAATGTTTATTTTAAGAAGTGACCACTAAGAATGTCTATTATTTTTTGGCGTTTTTTTATTTGGTTAGTTAGATTTTTTATTAAATGTCTGAATGGTGTGGTCGTTGATTACGAATGGGCATGTGTTGTGTAGTATAGCTAAGTAATGGACGTTTTGCATAGGACGTGTTGGTCTTCTTATGTTTTTTTAGTTTTGGTTTTTCCGAATATCAAACACAGTGACCTTTATATAAGTATGAAATAAAATTAATTTGAGCGTTAAGATAAAGGATTATGGACCGTGCAACTCGTTTATTAATCATCTCATGAAACATATCAATAGCGATGTTATAGAGATGGTGTCAGGTTCCACACGTTTATTAATCATCTCATGAAACATATCAATAGCGTCTTTAGCATTACCGTTTTTCGCATATCCAGAGATCATTGCGTTCCACAAAATCAAGTTTGGTGACTTCATCTTACCAAACAGAATCTTGGCGGTTTCGACTTGGCCACACTTTGCATACATGGTGTTGAGAGAGATGTGCATGTCAGGCTCTGTTTCAAGACCCATCTTCACAACCGAAGCATGAAAAGCTTTACCTTGCTCTAAATCTTGCAAACATGTTAAAGCATTGAGAACGCTTACCAAAGCTATCCAATCAGGCTTCACATCCATCTTCCTCATCTGACTGAAAATCTCTAACGCCTCCACAGGCTCACAGTTCTGAGCATAAGCTGAGACAATAGCCGTCCACGAGACCACCGTTCTCTTAAACATTGGCAGTCCTTCAAACACAGCTCTTGCACTCCCCATACGCCTGCATTTCGCGTACAACGCAATGAGACCGTTCTGAACAAACCCATCACCTTCGAATCCAAGTCTAAACACCTGAGCATGCACAAGCCGACCCATCTGAAGATAAGACAAACCGCTGCAAGCTTTAAGAAGATGAGGGAAAGTGAAAGAATCAGGAGAGACACGAGCGAGTTGCATCTTTGAATACATGAGAAGCACATCTCGGAAGAGATTGTTTCTTGAATAGCCTGTTATAATAGCATTCCAAGGGAATATCTGAGGGCGAGGCAATTCGTAGAACACCTTGCGTGTGAAACAAATGTCACCAAAGGCAGAGCTTGCGTGGATGAGCTTGGTGATCAAGAAACCACTGAACTGTAAACCTAATACGAATAAACGTGCGTGGATTTTCCTAAGGTGAGGTTTATGAGTAGAGCTATTGATAAGCGAGGCGTAGAAAGAATCTGAGTCGATCCCACTATTGTCTACATCAAACACGAACATGTTTTTTTTTCACTTGAAAAAGATCAAAGCTTTACATATAGCAAAACTGCAGAGAAGAGATGCTTCCGACATTGTTATTCCTATGTCCTCCTGACAATATATTGGTAAGTCTTCGCCATATTCATCTCCACAAACAAAAAAAAGTATGTCAACAAAAAAAAACATAACAAAACACCAAGTGCAAACAGAAACTCAAATTGAAGCAAATAAAAGTAAAAGTGAACACAGATCCCTCGGTTATTAGCCACTTGTCAAAAGTTGGACAAATTTCTGGACTTGTTTGTAATAAAAACAAATGGTGCACCTATCATCTAGTTCATCAAGTTTGCATGAACTTGGTGGGAGCAGAATTACCAAATTTTTACGATAGGCCCTCCTCCTGACGATGGGAACTTCCATCAATGAAGCCTTGACCTAACTCCAGGCTTTGTCTATCCCAGTAAGATCGGTTTTCCAGCCATGTAAGTCCAAAAGTCTCTTTTTCTAGTGAGCAGATTTAGGATAGCAAAGAGGTAGTTAACTTTTTCGTAAAAATCATCTGCTGAACTCTTGAGATGGTAAAGTTTTTTTCTAGAAGAGTGTAAGTCGAAGCCTAAATATAAGATGAAACTTCAAAAGAAAGTAAGGGATCAATGAACTATGCTCACATCCTCTGGTTTCGCAAGCCATTCAGCACTCAGCTCAGTTATATGGCAAAGTCCTTCTCTCCCTGGTGCAATCTCTACAAAGGCACCATAAGGAGCCATTGATTTGATTTCACAATTCCTGATAAAAAGAAAGGTCAGAGTTCAAGTCCATGTAAGGTGAGGCCAAATGAGAAAAGACATACCTGTAGATATCACCAACAGCTGGAACCATTGTCAACCCACTAATAATGGCTTTCGCCCTCTCCAGACTCGCCACATTGTTTGCCATAATTTTCACCTTAACAAAGAAAAATGTTTAAAAAGCTGAGATGATGAAACAACCATAATGTACAAAAGACATAGAGAACAAAGAAAAGCAAAGTCATGTAGATCTCACAATTCCATCATCTTGCATATCAATGGCTTCAACTACGGATTCTTCAATGATACTCTTTACTTTCTTCCCACCAGAACCAATAAGGGAGTATACTTTGCTTGGATGGACCTGTAGCACACGAAAAGGTAAAAGTCGAACATATAGCCTTCTCCTTTGTAGCCTTCTTCTTTGGCTCCTAGACCCAAAAAAAATGGAAGCTTCAGATCCTTTTACACTCACTATCATATAAATCCAACTTCAAAGACAAAAACAGTACCTCAGCGTCAGTTTTCTTTGTGCTTGGCTGCGCTTCTGACTTCTAAACAGGCTTTGCACTTCCTGCAGCTTTCTTTGTATTAGAATTTGCATCCACCTTGACGACAGTTTTGATACCTGCGTTTAGAACACATGAATATCAGATAACTCACCTCAAAGTCATCTATATAGAAAGATGTTAGTATCATCTACAAACCTCCAAGAGATTTATATGAGATCTGTGTGCTTACCTCCTTGGCAATGTTACTGAAGGCTTGAATGTATTGCTCTGCAAGTCTCAAACTCGCAGCCTGCAAATTGGACTATAAGTTCCTACAAAACTTGGAAACAAATGCATAATGGAAAAGATAACGGAGAAGTGATTCACGTTACTCTGTTCCTATGAAATAGGAAGTGAAGTAGTGATCTGATTATTTGCATAAAACAAAATTAAAAATAGAAGACTAAATCTGAGACTTAATCATTGAGCTTCAGCTTGCGTAGATGGAACTTCCATAGTCAGTTTTATTTGCTGGCTTATCAAATTCACTACCTAATAAGTGAGAAACAATGAGTTAGTGAGTTAAAAGGGGTATTGCTTACCGATATACACAGAAGCAACGACGTGAATCCCGACAGAGATATATGAGCCATCGAAGGTTACCGACTTCTCATCATCGGCGAATCCAGGAAGTGATCAGGGAGAGAAATCGGCAGAATCCAGGAAGTGAACAAAGGAGGCTCAGGACAGAGCTGAGAGATCGTAGAAAGCCATGGAGTCTTGATCTCTTTGGCTTCTCATCGTTAAAAAACGATTAGAAAGTCGGACCAAAAACCAAACCAACGTGAAAACCGACGTGGATGTTTGAAGCTCTACTATTGGTCGAATATATTTGTCTATGTGGACATAGTGAGAGGGTTTTATTTGCACCTTTTAATCATAGTAGATACACAACTTTTCATTTTATTTAACATTAACAACCTTTAAAATTAATTGCAATTTGTATTAAGTGACTCATCTTTAATTTTATTTATTAAGAGACACAACCTTTCATTTTATTTTTGTAAAAAGATATAATTTTTCATTTTATTTTGTATTTACAACCTTTCACACTAATTGGCATTTTTATTAAGATTTACAATTTTCTTCTTACTTAGTATTCACAACCTTGGAATACACAATTTTCATAACATATTGTACGTGTATGCTTCATGGAATCTTATGCAAAACACAACATTTCTTTATAGTGTTGTATCCAATCAGAAATTTTTATAAAAATTCATCTAAGTAAAAGTTGCAACTATTCAGTGAGTCCACTTATGTCTATTCACAAATCAAACCGGCATCAACCCGTTAACCGTTAACTGCATATAACAATCTTAAACTTTTGTTAGATCTCGTGCCTCTTAATAGTTTTTACAATGTAATGTTCTTTTAATGATAAAATGATTTTTAAGCAAGATAAAAAACAGTGAGAGAATATATATTATATTAGTTTAGAGGTAGTTATTTTTTAGAAACTTCAAAATTGAATCCTTTTATAATATTTTTAAAAAAGTTATATATGATCTTTTCATCCTTCCCTTTTACATTTTTTTAAATTAACTATTTGTTGGAGTATATCATTATTTTGTTAATTGTATGAAAAAATTGAGTGTTTTAAAAAAAATTAATAATATTTTAAAAAGGTTATGAAAGTTGTGTCATCTCATAATAAAAATTGTTTCTTCTTAAAAGTTGTATCTTCTTAAAAAACTGAAATATATTAATTCAAAAGTTGCATTTTTTATTGTGTCTTTTCTTAAAAAAATTATCTATGGCCATTGGATTAATTTTTTTTTTTTATAAACAATCTTGATGTTTTAGGAAGTTTGCTAAACAAAATAATAGTTGAAAGATTGTATTTTTCATAAAAACTGTAATATATTAGTTCTAAAATAAATGGTGTCTTTTCATAAAAGGTTATCTAATATTTTGGAAGTGGTATCTTTACATTATAAAAAATGGGTGGTTCAAAAAATAAAATCTAAATTTTTTTAATAAAGGTTAAAAACCTTTGAAATGTTGTATATTTTCATTAAGAAAAACATAAATATATTAGGATAAATGTTTCATCTTTTCATTCAAAAAACAGTTGTATCTTTTCATATCAAATTAACTAATATTTGAGAAGGTGCTTCTTCTCATTAGAAAAAAATTGTCTCTTTTCAATAAACTTAGGTATTAAAATAAATATCTTCTAAAAAATCAATATTAATATTTAAACTTATGAAAAAAGTATGACAAATATGATTGTGTCTATTAAAATAAAATATAAGCCTCTTTAATGAAGAGTTGCAAAATATTTGATAACATCATCAATCATATGAAAAACAAATTTTGATCCATTAAATTTTAAAATCAAGTTAACTATGACCATTAGATTGATTTTTTTTTTCCTATAAAAAAATATTAATGTCACTTTTAGTTTGCTATTATATATAGATTTTGATTTAAGATCGGAAGAAATTAAGAAAAATCTGTAATCAAAATTGGATCACAAAATCTGAACTTGATTTCCTAAACTAAACAAGAAATTGTTGTGTGAAACAAAATCGGGAATTTATGTCTGAACCAAATCTAAAAAACACAAACTGATATATAACCGGAAGACAAAAAAATAGTCCCAACCGCCTCTTTGCCCTAAAGTCAAGAAAAAAAGAAAACTCTCTCTCTGCGTTGTTTCTGGAGGAGGAAGACAAAACCCTCAGAGAGTAAAAAGAAACAGCGTGAGTTCCGCTGCTACTGATTGATCGGAGAAAATCGTGAAATCCCCCTCATCTTCTCGATTCCCGGTTGATAAAAAAACCCTTTCCGTCGGTAACAGTTTTCAGGGAGAGGCTTACCTCGATGAACCTCTCTTCCAATCTCTAGATCAATTTTGTGGGTTGGGTGTGATGGGGAGTAGTGATGAGCGAAACAGTCAGGCGATTGATGCCTCCGTTGGAGGTTTGGTTTGGGTCCGACGCCGTAACGGGTCCTGGTGGCCGGGTCGGATCATGGCCCATCACGAGGTTCCTGACGGTACCATCGTTTCTCCCAAATCCGGCACTCCTATTAAGCTCCTTGGTCGTGACGATGCTGGCGTGTGAGTTTACTCTCTTCCTTTTAGCTTTTGATTGTTTTGTTCTGTTGAAATGAAAAAGTTTAAATTTTGGTTTGCTTTTTAATCTCTTTTTGTTTCTCCAGGGATTGGTATAATCTTGAAAAGTCAAAGAGGGTGAAGGCGTTTCGTTGTGGGGAGTATGATGCTTGTATTGAGACTGCTAAGGCTACTGCATCTGGTAAGAAGCCTGTCAAGTATGCTCGACGTGAAGACGCCATTGTCCATGCTCTCGAGATTGAGAATTCCCTCCTTGTAGGCAAAGTTGATGATGATGATGATTTGTGTATTGAGAAAGCAAGCACGTCTTCTGACTCCACTGATGTGGCAAATACAGAAGGTGCGTTGCAGACTAGTGTGTCTTGCAAAGAAACCAATAATGGGAAAGCTTCAAAGGTGCAGCCTTTATCAGAAAAGAGGAGAAGAAGAACACCTAATGATCCGGAAGATGATGGGAGAGAAGGGAATAAAAAACGAATGAGAGGGCTTGAGGATATAGGATCAAAAGGAAAGGGTAAGCAGGAAAATGGATTGGTAAGTGAGGAGGTAGACATCAGTGGTTCTGTGCCGAATGGGATTCTTGCTAATGGTAGTAGCTCTCCGTCAATGAAAGGTAAAAGGTCGCCGGTTGTAAATGCTAATGACAACTCTAAAAAGAAAAACCAACGACGGCCACTGACAACAGTGTTAGAGAGTAGTACGGCTTTGGTGTCTGTTCCTGTTACCTGTGACGAACTTGTCAATTCTGATTGTTCGCCTCCTCTAGGGTCATCTGAAAACAAAGTTTCTGCTGCTATCGACAATAATAAGTTGGACAGCAATGAGGTTTCATGTGAGAACGGTGATGTTTCTTTAAATGCTTCTGAAAATGTTGGTGAAGTGATCCATATCAAGGCAAAAGAAAATCTATCAGTGTTGGCAAAGGATGACTCATCCATTGATGTTGAAGAAGAAAAACACTCTGCAGGTATAGATGGGTAAACCTTTATATCAAAGTTCTAGTGATTGAATGGTCCCTTTTGATCTGAGGACATTTGCAGTTTGTGTGTCTATTTTAGTTCACACTTCTCTTAGTTGGATTAAATCTGAATGTCTCCACTTTGAGGAAAAGAGGAAACATAATAGCATGGATTAAAGTGCTTATATGACTAATATCTGGACAACTCATCTGTGCTAGAATACTAGTGACTCTTTGTTTTGGCACTGGGTGGCTTTCTTTTCTATCCTTATTCAACTCAGTGACTAAACTATTAGAGATGTTTCCTAATATTTTGTGTGTGGCTAATTGTTTCTGCGTGTTTCTGGTCTTGTGGCTTAAGATGGTTATCTGCTTGTTTGGATCAAATACTTGATCAGTTCGTTGGATCGGATTTGGTAGCTTCTTGTTCTAGTTTGTGATTAGCATGACTTTAACTGACGTGCATTGTTGTTCCAGGTACTTCAGCGGCAGTTTTCACATCTTCACCCGCGAAAGCTTTGGCTCTTGTTTCTTCACCAACGAGGCAATGTGATGATGTGGTGAAGATTGAAGGATGTAATGGATCTGCTTGTTCAAGCCCATCAGCTCCACTTATCAATGGGATTGAGGATAACACTTCAAAATGGCAGCTAAAAGGGAAAAGGAACCCAAGGCAGATGAGTAAAAAACAAGAAGAACGAAGAATTGCTTACGCTGAAGAAGCCAACAACAACTCTTTGCCTCGTTATTCTCTCTCCGATCAAAATCCACATGGTCATTTCAGCGTTATGGGAAGAAACTCTCAACTGTATGACGTGAAGATAGAGGAAAAAGGCAGCTATAAACCCAGAAATGTCCCGATGATTTCCCTTATGAGTAAACTGGAAGCTATCGTCGGTCATCCTTCAACGGTTGAAGTGCTTGGGGATGGATCGTGTGACCGCATTTTGTGTAGTCATATCAAGTCATATGTTGTGCCAATGGTTGCTGGTGAGGTGAAGCCAAAACCATCATGGAAAAACAAATCCAAGAAAAAGAAACTATACATTCCTCCACATAAATCATCAAAGTCAAAGAAAGCTTCTTCCCTATCCATAAAGACAAGGTGCCTCTCTGCTCTAACTGGCCAGAAGCTGACGGTAATTAGTAAGAAGAAAGTGATGACAGAGAAGACAAGAGAAGGGATCGTCTCCTGCATCCCTTTGAAAGTAGTTTTCAGTAGGATAAACGAAGCAGTGAAAGGGTCGGGGAGGCAAATGCATAGAGCATTGCCATCTTCAGGCAATAATAATACATGATGAGATGAGTTTGGTCCTCCCTGGTTTGTTTTTCGCCTCTATTTCTTGTCATTTTTCTTTTTCTTTCTCGCCTCAGGTTTAAGATGAAACTAGCCCGGTTTTAGTGAGTGCTGGATTGGTTTTACTGTATAGTACAGAGATATCTTAGTCCTTGTGAGACAGAAGGAGAGAAAAGAATGTTGAAGTGGATATATGTATATGTAATTATATTAGCAAATAGCAATTGGTGGTGGGAGGTGTAATATTAGAAGAAACAAGAAAAAAAAACTCTGATTAGGTGGAAGAAGACATTGTTGCTCATTTTACACATGATTGTTGTAACTCTTTAAAAGTTCTTGTCAAACTCAGATGGAGAAAAACTCGTTATAGCTCATTGGTTCTTTTTATCTCTGCATTATGTTCAGACACACCATCTCTGTTTGCAAATTGAAACTTCCACAAGCTCTAGACTATGTAATAAACATAGCGATAGCCAGCGACATGCCGCCTAACTCTATTCTTCAATGTGTTTGGTCAATGGTTTTGCAAAAACCGATCAAAGAAAAGTCATATTACAAGTTTCTAACTGGAATAGAGAGAATCAAAAACATCTAGATTCCATTTGGGAAGGGACAAGAGAAGAATATGCGTTGACAAGTCAAACTTCAACCGAACCAGGCATGATATTTCGCTTACACGTCTTTTACCTTAAACCCATATCATGTCTAATGACTTGTAAGACTATCTTTCTTATGTCTGCGTATTTCTCTGTTATAAAGTCTCTTCACAACTCGAAAAATTACAGCAATTCTTAGCTTTTATTTGAAGATCTCTCTGTCATGTCTGTCAAGAAACAGGCATCAGAGAGAAAAAACAATGGAAGCCAAAAGTCGAGTTCTTATCGATGCTTGTCATTCTCTTTCCTGGAGACATCAACGGATGGGAAGAATAAACCATTGTGTTTGAGTCGTATGGATTCTAAGAAGCTCAAGGCAGGTATCGTGAAGTGGGCAAAGCGTGTTGCAGCTTACGCTCGTCAACTTAGCTCAAGAAAACGAAATTAAGACCAGAAGATGAAAGCTCTTTGGAAGTTGTACTCGGTTTACATTGATCATGTTCTTGTTGAAGTCAACTACTTATCTTTTGTTCTTTGCAAATAATTGTTCATTCAAGTCAGTTCATGAAAGGAGAAAGTGGTGTAATGATGTTTACTAATCTTGTCTGCCAATGCTATTAGAGACGTGCTGATCCCAAAAAAAATCTAATTTAAAATCTTAATTCCCTCAAGCTAAAACAATATCTGTTTTAATTGTTTCACATCTGCTTAGCGACCAAATGAAGCAGACATGGTCACAAGAGAACACAAGAAAGCTCAAGCAAGCAGACACATTCAATGTGAGGAGTGTGAGGGAACATATCCACTGGCTGCACACTCATCAGTTTGTAGCAACCCTTTATATTCTTCTCCTCCTACGTTTCAACATCACCACGTTTCGTTGTTATTTACCTTTACAAAGTTATATAAAGAGTAAAGATTCAAAGTGGAGGATTTGATTAGATACTAACCACGCCATGACAAAGGTAATCAAGATCTCTAGCGCAGGTTGCAGGGTTACATGAAACATAAATGATCCGTGGAGATTTAAGGTTTAGCAGAAACTTGATCAACTTCATGTGCATACCAGGTCGATTGGGATCTGTAAGAAAACGCTTCTCTAATGAGTAAGCAAGAAAGAATCAGGTAATAGTATAAGAATTAAGATGAAAAAGATTATAACCAGAAATAACGATATCAGGTTTAGGGAAATTGCTCCCAAAATCCTCTCCTATTTTATTTAGATCCCCTTGGATGAATGTTGCATTCTCTATGCCGTTTATTTGAGCATTCTTGTGTGCATCTGTTATTGCTTGTGGAACTACTTCATAACCATACACATGCTTCGCCCTAGAGAGAGAGGAGAATCAAACCCAACACCTCAGCAACAAGCAAAACTGCTAATATTTATTATCCTTTGGCAGTACTTTAATCTCAGATTTCTACCTTCTGGCAAGTGTAAGACCGATGGTACCAGTTCCACAGAAAAGATCAAGCACAACTTCTGAGCCATCTCCTTTAAGTCCAGCACATTCCTCAATTAGCTTATACAGAACTTCAGCCTACACAGTGAATGCTATTTTAGTTTCAACAAATTTGTGTTTAATGGTTGATGCTGTGAGAGAGGAATCAAGCTGGTCTGGTTACTTGCTCCATATACCTGATGAGTGTTAGTCTGAAAGAAAGAGTTGGCTGAGATTTGAAATGTAAGGCCTCTCAAGACCTCTGCGATTGTTTCTTTACCGTAGAGAGTATATTCTTGTTCCCCGACAGATGTATTCCCAACAGAGGAATTTACATTATTCATGATGCTTACCTGCATTTTTCATGACCCAAAGAAAAGTATGCAAGTCTTAAAATACAAAGCAGGAAAAAATGTAATCAATCTATTAAGGGCTGAAGGAATGAAGCAAATAAAATTGTATACGAACCACTTCAGGAATTGATGAAATTTTGTCAACCAGGGGCTTCAACAACTCTGGCTTATAAGAGGATGTCACAAAATTGACCATGAGTTCTTGTGAACCAGTCTCCACGTTCCTAAGTCAAGTTTGATCATAAGAAAGTTTTAACAAAACTTAGGAGATGAAAGAAGAACTACTGCTAACGATCATACGAAGACACAAGAATGATTTTTACTTCCTTCAGTTCTATTAGGAGAACAAGTTGCTAATTTTATTGACATTATGATTCAAGTACCTTCAATACCTTCCAGTTCTGAGCATCAAATGTTTAAGAAACCCGGCATGAGAACGAGCATTATAGGGCGAAAGACCTAATTCAGGATCTCTCCAGCAATCTTGAACAGCAGCAAGAACCTATATGGATTATAACAAAATGTTACTAAGTGATACTCAAAGAAGAGCTCTAACTTTGAACTAAACTGCTTTCACCATACCATATTAGCAGGCTCGCTTTGTAACAAGCACTTGTCAACATTCAAAACCTTGTCAAAAAATCCAGGAGCGTGTAGCCCCAAGGCAAAGCTCTTAGGACCATCTTCTCTCTCGCCCAACATCTCAACCGGAAGCCATCTTTGTGGACCAAATGAAAACTCCATCTACATTTCAAATTGGGAAAGCAACATAAGAAGCTGAGAGACCAAATCAACCAAAAGGGACACTTGAGACCAAACAAACCAAACCTTGTTACGGTAATTGAACTGGGTATCACAAGGAACAATAGGCTTCAAGACAGTCTCAAGACCAGGAGTGTTATCAGAAAACCTTCCGACATGCGTGATAAGCTCATAAACTTGTTCCTCTTTAGCCCTAACCTGAGCTTCATAAGACAGATTCTGAGCTTTGCAACCACCACAGTAGGAAGCATACTCACAAGGAGCTTCTACTAAGTCCCTATGTGGAGTTAAAGTCTTGATCTTTGTCACCTAAAACAACAGTTTCAACAATAAGCAAATAAAACCAAATAAAAAGGATTGTAACTTTATAGCAATAAAGGTTGGATTTTTATGGAAACCTCAGCGTAGCTGCCTTTACGGCGAGTGACACGGCCGAGAAAACGCTCTCCGGGAAGAGCACGGTCGCACATGACGACGAAGCCAGTGCCATCGACTTTACAGATTCCTTTGCCTTTGAATCCTAAACTCTCGCAGACAAGCTCCACCGTCTGCCCTCGTTTCGGGTAATACGGTGCCGTTTTCTTCTCGGAGGTGTTCTCTTCGTTCGCCTTCAGTGTGTTGTTACCGCCGGAGAGCTCAGAAGCAGAGAGGTGAGATAGAGGAACCGCGGAGGAGGAGCATCGGAGCTTGTGGAGCCAGGAGCGCGTGGGGAGCACGTACCTGAGCCTGAGGGCATGAGCAGGCGTGGTGGCTAACATTGGAGATGCTGGGTTTTAGTGAGAGAGAGAGAGAGAGCTGGAAGAAGACAAGCGACTCAAAAGTTGGAGTAAGTTGTGATAAGCCGGTTCGGGTCTTTATCAATAACCCTGATCCGAACCGACTTAATCGGACCGGGTTTGCATTGACTGATCCTCAAATGCACATAGCTAATCCTCAAATCTCTCATTCTTCTCAAACATTATTCTTACGTTCTTCACTTCCATTTCTCAAAAATCAAACTCAAACTTTTAGTCATTCATCTGGTCATTTCTTATTATTCAATTTACATCTACTTTATTCTATATGATAACCGTGAGAACACAGATTTTTAAACTTCCTCATTGTTCTTAATCAAAATTAATAAACATGTTCGAACTATTCGAAATTTCTGTAAAATCCCAAATCTATCAATTCTTCATCATTTTTAATCTATTTTCTTTCTTATAAAATCAAAATTTTCACTTTCAATTTTTAATATTGAAGAATACAAAGACTAGGACAACTAATATAATCAAACTAGTACAACTAGAATGTATATAATTAGTACAACTACAACGAGAGTAACTAGTATAATAATAACGTGTATAATTAGTACAACTTTACAATTAATATGACTATATTAGGAGTTTCTTTACCAATTGTACTATTTACGAAAAACTTATCTTCATATATTTGCTCTCGAAACCAAAGAAGGCAAGTGTCGAGCCGAAAAAGGTTGTAGTAGAAGATGATTAAAAGAACATATTCCAAAAGATGATACAAAATCCATCATAACTTCAAAAGGATGTATAAACATTTATGTTTGGTGTTCGAATTACAACAATAATGGTTTGACTATGATATTATTATTAATAATTTAATTGTGGTAATACTTGAATTGTTTTTAACATTGACTGGTAGGCTTAGCCAGAAGGTAAGCCGAAGGATTATTGCTGCATGTTGCCTCCAAGTCCATGTTGCTCACCAGAATGTAAGCTGGATGACTGTTGTGTGGGGTCTGCATGGGGCGTCCAATTTCATAATGCTCAGCAGGAGGTAAGCCAAAAGATTAGAGTTCTATGTTGCCTCCAAATCTAGGATGCTCAACAAAAGGTAAGCTGAAGTTTTGTTGCTGTGGGGCTTGCATGGTTCCTCCGAGTTCATGATGTTTCTGGTGATTGCGGACCTGAGTAAGATTGAGTTCATGTTTTTGTGAGACCAATGTTTCGTATTGAGCGACTACACATGGATTGTCGTGAAAACTTTTTAGACGTATCTCTGCGACATTAAATTGGGTGTCAAAAACATCTTGCCTCTCATGTCTATGAACTTTATTTTACTACAATGGAGACACTTATATAAGTAATAATAAAACAAAGATCAAAATTACAATACATAAATAAATGCAAAAAAAACGAAGAATTGCAGAGTCAAGATGATTCATCTTTTTTCTTAGATCTCCAAACGTCCCGTAGTGTGATAGTTTCATAGCTCTGAGATTCCCATGGTATAACTGCATATAACTACATATAACTTCTGTCTCCCATCATCGAAGAATAGAACATGTTGAACCTAACTTTTGTGTTTTACTCTCAAACTCAAAAATAAATAAAAATAAAAATAAAACATCATTATTCAACATAGGAGAAGTGGTTAATGTTGTTGATTTTCACATGTGTATGTCCATCTTTTCTAAATGACTGACAAACCTTTATATAGAAAGTGCAAACATCACATCATGCTTTTTAAAAACCATAAAGTTAAAAGGGCGTAATTAAGTCATTCAAGGCAAAAAATATCAATATTATGTATTTGACCAAATCAAATATATATAATATTTTTTCCAATTTGGGTTTGCATTTTATGCTTATACAAAGCATAAAGATAATCTTTTATTTTTAGACAACAAATAACTAAATTATAATATATGCCCTACCGATTCAGATAACCAAACCAATGATAATCATAAATAAATTTATATGAATAAGTAATGGACATAATATCCAACTAACAATTTCCAATCAAAATATTCAACGCATGACATTTGCTAATTTTAGTCAAATTTAAAGCTTTACAAATTTTGTAAATCACTTATTTTGTACTAGTTCTCATTCAAACCAATTTTTATTTTTGTATATAGTTACACCATTTCATAGTATGAAACATTCACTTATTCTGACGACCAATAATTTACCTACAAATGATATAAAACCATTTCGTCAGAAATGAGTTCCAACAACATGCTTATGTTCAGGAAGGTCTTCAAAATCTTTTTCAGGTACTTAACGGTGAAACCCTGATTAATTATCTTGAATTTCTCTTTATTCTCTCCAGAGCAATAAGGAATGAAGATGCAAATCTGGTGGGCATCTTTTCTTGTGTTGTTTACAAACGGCACATCGTGTCATCTCCTCTGCGTAGAATAGGAAATCAAGAGTTATTCAAAAATATTCTAATAAAACAGAGGTAACACAATAAGAACTCACATTTCTTACAGAACAAGTAATCAACGAACCATTTCTCACACAAATCGAACAAGAGTCATGAGCATAAGACAAAAATTATTCCACAAAACAGAGGGTATAACACCATAATAACTTACGTGTCTTACCAAAAAAAAAAGTAATCAATGAACCATTCCACACACAAATGGGACAAGAGTCATGAGCATGAGACAAAAATCATTCCAAAAAAAGTAATCAACGAACCATTCCTTACACAGATCGACGAGATAACATTAAAATCTAGAGTCCTAACATCACTAAATGTTTGGATATATGGGAGAGAGCTAGATTGTCCTGTGAATTTCTATAAGAAAAACAAATAGATGAATACATATCCTGAGTGATTTTTTGTGTTTTATATCAAACAAAACAAAGATGAAACGGGTAGAAATTTCATTCTTAACAAAACAGCGGATAACACAATAAGAACGCAACGTTTCTTACCAAAAAAAAAAGTAATCAATGAACCATCCCTTAAGAAAAGAATAGAATCTAACAAAACATAAGAGCACATGTTTCTGCGAAAAAAGTAATCAACGAACCACATGCTTTTAACGACGGAAACAAACAAACAAACAAAAACTGAGTTGAAAAGAAAGGAGAAAACACAAAAAAAACAGGAGTGATCTCAATGACAATGCGATCAAGGCTAAGAACATTAGAGAAAAAAATAGAGTCGAAGAATCTAACGATCGTTTCTGCTATTGGATTGAAGAAACTTTGGTGAGAAAAATCTGTTCTGATGAGTAAAAGAAAACAACAATATGGCACTGGTTTGGGACTAAGAAACTGACTTCAAAAGAATAATAGAAAATCTTGACAATTACCAACAATAGAAAGTACTGTTTATACGGTGAGAATGCATTAATTGTATACAAGTAAGTTTCAGGGTTGTTTGTTTAATACAGTCATAATCAAACCATAAACGTTTTTGTATTGTAATAGACGGTCTCTAACTGAGACCATCAGTTACAAAGAAAGACCAGCTCCATTAACATAGACATAAATATCCAACGTACTTAGGATTTTAAATGCTTTAGTATGTTCTTTCTCCGAGTTTTCTTATATTTAAGCTCTCCGTTTCCGAAAGTAGATACCAAAAGGAAAATCAGATTAGAGTTTCAGAGGACATCCCTCCGCTGCAATCATGAGACAAGATTTAACCCATTTGTTAAAACCTTAATCTTGTTGAGATTTTAGGCAACTTTAGTCTAATTATGTGTATCTTAACCTCAAGAAAACTTGCTTCCCTCCTTGTGTAGGTAACATAGATTTTCTTTAGTCCCAAAAGTGTTGTATCTCTGTCTGTGTACGCTTAACTCGATTCACAAAATCTTGATCTGTTCATCAATAAACTGACTAATGGGGAAGGAGTAAGGGTTTAAAGATACATCAGCTTCCATTTTAAGAACTACAAACCAGTGAGGGACTCTTTTACCAATGTGGGTGCTTCAGGTTTTTTTGATGCTCGTTTGTTTTGGCTCTTGGAATTTCAGTATACGAAACTGATAATTGATTAGTACAATGTTTTGATAAAATATTATTTTCATACAACTTACTTTTTCAGAATATGAAAGATGATAGTCAACATCCACAAACTTATTCTGGAGCAATTTCAGACAATCTGGTTATTAAAAGGTGTGTATGCTATCATCAAATTGTTGTTTTTTTTATAGTGACACTGTTAAACGAGAAACTATTTGAGAAAGAGAAGAGTTGGTTCGATAAGTTCCTTGAATTAATGCATATTTGGCACATGCCTAAGAATGATAAACATACAATAGGTTTATCTATGAATACTTTTTCTTAGGACGTTCATTTGGAATCATATGATATGTTGGTTTGTGGTGAATGATGTTCCTACTAAGTATTCCATTAGGAAGCATTGCCTTATTTTTTTGGATTATCTTATTATAGCTATGGATCAAATTGAGAAGAGTCTGATAGATTTCAGTTTTAGAATTTTTTTTGTAAGAAGTAATGACATATTTGTCAAACAAAAATATTATTTTCTATGGATGATTCATCAGAATTGGTTAAATAGAGTTGTCATTTGCTTCTTAAGCACAACCATATATAAATGGTACGAAAATAATTGGTTTCATAAAGCTTTTCACAATCAAAGTTTTTGATAATCTGAATTTGTGTAAAACTTTTTCGTGGGAGAAATACGCATTTTACTTGTGCATCAATGTGATTTTTCACTATGGCGAAATATTTTAAAGGTGCGATGCCAAAGTCATTGTGTTTTGCTGGTTTCATAAACATATACGTGTAGCTTAAATATAAAACCAGCAAAACATAATAATTTTGTTGGAATATTCTTCCATGTGAGAAAGTTACACACGTCAAATGTATATTTTTATCACGGTAAAGTTTTAACAAATCTAGATTTTCAGAAACTATTTATGAAACCATTTAAGATTATTTTTAAGAAGTAAAAGATAATTAGCTTTAATATATCTTCCAATGAATCATCCGTGAAGTAGTGGTTTTTTATATATTTGACAAAACTGTCATTACTTTTCCTACTTTAAAAAAAAACTAGAATCTATCAGACTGTTCTCAGTTTGA